CGCAAACAAACAAACAAACAAACTCGCAAACAAACAAGCAAACAAACAAGCAAACAAACAAAGATAGAAACAAAAACCAAAAACAGAAAACGACAACAACCACCACCATAACCACCACACCCACAACAATTGCCACTAGCAAGACTTTTATGCTGCCCACTACTACAACAACTACTGCTGCTGCCAACAACCAACAACCAGCAACCAGGAACAAACGACAAGAACCAGAAACGGAAGAACCCTGCACATGCTCTAATGCCCCTGCACATGCTGTTGAGCAATGGCTTTCAGTAAGCCTTTGCCACCAACACCAAAAAAAAGAAGCACGAAACGCAGGAACCCTGGACAATTCAACCGGCGGAACTCTCGAGGCGCTGCCCATGTGGCGCCGCTTCTGCAGCGGCACTTGGGTCGCCTGGATCCGCAGCACCGAACCGCTGGAGGTGCAGAGCAGCACCTGCGAGGTTACGGGCTGCCCGATTTCAGATCCCGGATCTGAAAGTTTGAGGAACTTTTAGTGGGTTCCCCCCCCCTCCAACTAACATAGTACCAGACATGGGGTCCCTGCAAGAAGAACTTGATCTTCCAGGTACCGTCCCAGAGGTGCCATGTTAGTGGAAGGGAGGGTAAATGGAAACTAGCACCAAACACTAAAAGGCTCAAAAGCTAAGGGGATGACGGGGAGCCACCAAGTTTTTTTCATGGCAAAGTGACTCACTTTTGGTGGGTTAAATGGAAACTACCAAAGACATAGATGGAAGCTAGCACTACATGGAAACTTGACCCCCCGCATAACCAGTGCCTTCTATCTTCTGTCTTTTAACCAAACTAACCTAGAAAGGACACCATGCTGTTGGGTGGTTTGCAGAGCAAACTGAAAGAAGCCCGCCGTTTTTTAGTCCAGATACTCGTAGAGAATAATGGGAGCCCAAGATTACCAAACCCAGGCAGATTTAAGAAAGGGGGCTGCGGATGCTTCTGTTGAAAAAAACCCATGGATCCGCTATCTTAAAATAGCCCAGAGTCAACAGTATGGAACCTCAGAATCTTCGCCCTAAACTCTGTGTTATTTTGGCATAATTATGACCACCCCTCAACAACCAAGAATGATAGGTCGGAATGGGGCTGTTCACAACTCTGCGTGTTCACAACTCACTCATCATGCACAGATCTGCGGGGTCCGCATCTTGTGGCTTGTGGCTGCTGAGGCACGGTGCTTGCCGCCTGCTCAAGCTGACCTTTGGCTCAGGCTGAAGTTTAGATCCAGCTATGCCTGCCCTGTGGCCATTCTTTGGTACATGCAGCAGTCTCTGTACAAGGCGTTGCATGCTTAGAAGCAGCACGTAGACTCTGGTTCTGCATCCTCGACAGAAGTTTGAACCGTAGCGTTTTTCTCCTCCTGCAATTGCACCATGGAAAAATGAAATTGCCCTTCGTCCGCTTCCTGCAAGAGTGTTGAAAGAAGATAACTTTGTGCCAACTTTAGGCAGTCACAGATTCTGCTGCACTGACAAGCCTTAAAGGCCTGGGTGGACGGTGTGACGCTGGACACGCTCCTTTGCAAGCCTGTGTAAGGATCAAGGGACACCTCTCCAATCCCCACAATGCCACAAAGATGCATGACATTCTTCGGGGCCCGTGGGCTCTCGGCACACTTTGCACCAGCCGCAGCCACCGTTGCTACACCCCCGAAGCAACCACTCATACAATTTTCCCCATGCGTCAGGATCAGGTGGGACAATCTTGGAGAGAAACCCTTCCTTTTCCTTCAGACGGTTTCCCCCCCCCCCACTGCCCCCCACACCTAAGAGACGGCCCCCCCACCCCACACCACCCAAAAAATCCATTTCCTTCAGACGGCTTTCTTCCCCAGGCAGATCCCTCCCGCCTCTCCGAGCTTCTCCCGGAGCTCGCTGGTGGCTTCCTTCAGCGCCTGCGCCGCCTCCTCATAGGCGAGCCTCACTCCAGCGATTCGATCGGCGCCGAAACGAAGACGTGGAGCCCACGCGGACCCGGGCTCAGGTCTGAGCTCTCGGGTTTCGGATCGGCCGAGAAGCGTTGAAACGTCTTTGCGTGTTCAGACTGTTGGCGGGTGAAATTCGGACACGTCACGAAACCAACTCAAGAGCTCAAAGGCTGGGGGGATGGCTGGGAGCCGCCAAGCCTTGATGGAATTTGACAGCTGTGGGCAAATGTCCGCTGCCTCGCTGTTCGGCTTAGGTAGGACCCTCAAGCCATTCCACCAAGCCGCCAAGTGAAGGTTGCCTGAAGGGACCGGAAACCTTGGAAAAACAAGAAACACATGCCAAGAGGTAGAGCAGCCTGGTGCCCCAAGCACGAGTGAGACTAAGCACTGGTCATGTACTTTCAAAGAGGAGCACCCATGTTTTGAGATGACCATTGGTGCATGCCGAACAAACAACTGCACTGTCCATCAACCGTGCTGGTGCATGCGTTGGCCTGCGTTCAACAAACATGACAGTCTCTTTTTCCACTCCCAAAATCCGAGAGGATCAAGAAGCTCGGCACAGCTTCGTCGAGGGCCGAACCGTTTCCACCAAGCCACCCAAGAAACACTCCCCTTCGCCACAACAATTCGCCCATGGCCAGGTGCTGGGGAATGAGAGAAACGACCCCTGCTTGAGTTAGAGGAGACCATGCCCGGTTTCCAAATACCTATATAACCGCGCGCCAAGGGGTAATATATAATGATAAAATGTTAAGTTTTATCATTGTACATTTCTCATTTGTCCATCACCTATGGCTTTCTTGGGTTCATTCCATTTCCCTACCTGAGCACCAGCGTTAGTGAAGTCATCCCCTTACCTTCCTGAGCCCCCTGCCCCCGTCACAGCGCCGAGCCACTCCTCCGCCTGGCTCTGCCGCACGAAGGGCGCCTGCTCGGACTCGCTGAGGTCCTCGAACTGGACCTGCGCGGGTTCGGCCCGGGCCGCGGGGGACCCCGGCGCGGGTCTGGAGTCTGGCGTGGTCGGTGCTTGTCTTGCTTTTTGGCGCATTTCGCGCCAAGCCCATTACCTGTTTGTTTGTTTTTAATGGGGCCCAAGGCTTTTCCATTGGCGCGTGGGGGCAGTCCTCAAACGGCCAAATCCATAAGAGTCGGCTCTGGATCTCTGAACAAAAACCAGGCCACTGCGCCTGAACGGCCACAGATGCTACGCAATGCTATGTTGATTCTTCCCTATCTGCATGCACACAACAGCGCAAGGCGCAAGGCCTTGCAACGAGCAATGGTCAGCATGGATACGTTAAGGATTTTATACAGGTAGGGCCTGAGCAAGCAAACGCGTTATCTATGCTCTATGCGCGGGAAGGTGGACAAACTCTTGGATGGTCACTACTGGAACCAACTGGGGTAATGTATGTAACCTCGGATCAGATCTAACCTCAGGGGTAAATCTAGGTAACATTGTGTAACCTCAGCCCTTTTCACCGCCACAGAAGGGAACCACGTGCCTCTACAAAGAGTAACTATTGGGAACCACCCGGACGTTTGCATTGTTTTGAAAGGATTTCAAAACTCGCCAACCACTTAAATGCTTCAGCTTGCTTGCAAACTTCGCCAATCACTAAGACGATCCTCTCTCCGTTCGCGCCTGGCCGGCTTCAGCGTCTCCATTTTCAGCGCCGGCGGTTGCCGCGAGCCGCTGCTCCAGGAAAAGGTCCGCAGGCTTTGGCGGTTTGCCTCGCCGCTTGCCCAGAAGGGTCAAGCGGAACGTTCAACCATCTCCATTTCAACTGGATGTACTAACCATTATTCATATATCTATGCAGTATGTATGTGAGTTTGGATATTTAAAGGGGTAGGTTGAAGATACAGATATGTATATATATATATATGTGTGTGTATAGCATGTATTTATGCATACAGGTATGTATGTATTGAAGTATATGTGTGTCTATGTTTGTGTGAATTTACATTTACATTGTTTGCGGCGCGTGCCGAGACAACCAGGAACACGCGACGAACAAAAAAGGCATGGTTGCCCATTGTTCAAGCCCGCAGCCACCAAAATGGAAGCTGGTGGCGGCTTCCCTTAATGTAGAACCGGGTATCAAATAAGCAGCGCCCTGACATGGTCATGCAGGTTTACATCAGATTTACTATCACATCAACTAAACAAGGAAGCGTCTGTGTTAATTGCTCCGCTGTTTTTGTTGTTTTTCAGGGTGACTCAGGGCCGAAACGCAGGAAACGGCACAATTTGGGCGAAAAAACGGAATGCATTCTAAGAGGAAATGGTCCGTCGCTGTGTGGTGTTGTGTATTTCGTTCGGGCGAAACCGTGATTTCAGATTTGGGCGGAACGTAGTGCTATCTTTTTGAGGGAAAAACAGAACTGTTGGCTGGTTCTGTTTCAGAGGAACCCTCAAAGCTCATATGTGTTTCTATTTGTTCTCTTTTCGGCGTGAATTCTATTTGATTGAGGAAATCGCGCCTCTAAATTGTTGTTCATGTGTCTTCTTGGGAGGGACCTTGCAACTGCCAGGTGTTTTGGGGCGTGGGCTTTCACACCTCATAGTTCGTGCGTGGGAGAGGGACCTTCCAACTTGCACAGAAGCCTGAAACTGGACACGCGCAAGCAAGCGTCGACGCGTCGAGACAACACAAACATCGCGCCCGGGGATACCGGGACAGACCGCGAGCGAGCCCGTGTCCATAACGCTGACAGCATAGGTGTCCTTTTAGGGGAAATAGATGGCCCTGGTAGATGATTAAACCACCAGGTAAAGCAGGGCCATCTATTTTTCTACCAAAACAACCAAAAAGGGCACCTATGGCTGACAGACTATGCCCTCGCACCACCCAAAAACCAAAACCGCCGGGCTGGGCTTTGCCGAGGCGCGAGGCAGCTTGGGCAGCTCGTCGCTACCCAGCACCCCGACGGCGGTAACCGAGTCCTCCCCCACCAGCTTGATGGCCTCCAGAGCTTGGGTTCAGCCCAGAACAGCCGGTGGATGGTTGCGAAATCCGATTCCCACCTAAGAAGCCATGGTTGAAACCATAGCGTTTGTTGGCATTGGGGCATCGAATCATTCCACGGTTTCTGAGGTGGTGCAGGATTTCGTCCAGCCACGATATGCCCAGCCCCAGTTGCAACCAGTGACCTTTCCCCCTTAGAGAGGAGCGGCCACTCCCCTGATGGGGAAGGAGAAAGTGGGGAAACCCCAAGAGCGAAACAAGCGACACGTGACAATCCACAAACAGACCTCCACTCAGACTCGCTGTGTCTCCTCACAAGTGATCCCCAGAAGTCCCTGGCTTTCCCATTTAAGGTATGTACGACATTCAGCCAACCTACAAGTGGTGATTCCCCATAGGAGCACGACTTTTTGTTGGGTTGCAACCTCAACAAACACCCAACCTCCAACCATCAACCTCCCAATAAACGACAGTAGACAGAGTGGAACCTGATCCCTTCAGATGTGAATGCAACCACCAGCCAACAACAACACCTGGACCAGCCAAGCCGTGTCTTCAAACAATGTGCTTGCGGCGTTAAGCCGTCACCTGGGTATAGCGTTTCTTTCCGCCGTGTCTTCCATGTCAACTGACCTGACTTGCAACCCATAGAGCTGCTCAAAGGCCGGCCTTTCCCTTTCCCTTTGCCGCCTCCATACCGCACGGAGAAAGAAAAAAAAAAAACGCGGGTGGCCAAGCGGCCAAGCGGTTGCCCACCGACAACTCCCGGCCTGCGGGCCCATGCGGTTCCGCGCGCGCAGCTTCACCTCGCTGAGCGGGACCCGCTTGCCGAAGCCCGCCCGGGTCACCAGGAGGAGGCTCTGCCCGGCCAGGAACCTGAGCCGAACTCGCCGGGCGCCTGGGGACATGGGGCAGGAGGAGTCCGAAACTTGGGCGGATCGTCCTGAAAATTGCGTTTTGCAGATTCCTGGCTGCGCTTTTTCAGCTGCCTGGGGGCTGCGTTTTTGCAGCACAACATTTAGATTTACAGTCTTTGGATTGTGTGATGGCATGCAAGTGCAGGCACGGCACATGTTTATTCCAATGAAAACTCGAGCTGAACTACGTTTCCATGATGTGTGTTTAATGTCAGCTGAATCGTAAGTAAGTTCGGTTGGAAACAACATACTGTGTAAATTATCAATTAACTTAGAATTATTCTAATTCAAGTTATGTTTTGAGTCACAAGTTGTGATTGGATTCATTCCTTCTCAAACTATGTTTAAACTCTAATTTACTTGCAATGTTCTATTGATAAAGAATGTACATCTAAATTCTAATTGGAAGATGTCCCAGTAGGATTCTGATCAAGTATGTCCGTATTTGAGTCCTGTTTAAATCCTATTCAAATTCAAATGAATTTTAGAGAGCGGCCGTTGGTGGAGATGTGAATTGAGTACGAAAAATGCTACAAAACACTGTTCTCTGACCATAGTCGTGCTGGGGCTAGTAAACAAAAAATAACGACGATTTTAGGATCTCTGGTTGATTTCCTTCTGAAATCTACTTAACATCTTTACCGAACTCTATCGAGTGTCTAACTGAAATTAACTAGAAATTATTGAAGAAAGGCTCCAATCAAATTAGACTTTACACTATGATTATTATTTATTATATTTCAACATAAATGTTACAGGGGAATTCCTTTCCGATAGAACTGTCCTTACAAGTCAGTAAACATGTAAACAGCATGTATCAAACATTTTCTCTGGGTCGACTGAAACCTTCTCAATCGAAGTTAGAGAATCCGTTCGACGTCTACGGCTGGCTTGAATGCAGAGCTGGCTACGAAAGTCACAGAGCTGAAGGCACTCTGTTGCAGACGAGGATGCTGAGAAAAATGTAAATCAACCTTGAGTTGTTTTTCAAAAACGCACAAAAAAAGCAAAAAAATGCAGGCTATATGTCCCTAAGCTTGGACTGCCCAGCCACAGGGCCTCCAATTTTGGTGTTGTTTTTTGGGTCTTCGGGAAAGCTCGAGGTTCTTTGGTTAGTCTGGAAAAGTATAAAGAACTCGCGTTTTCAAAAATAAAAGTAAAATAAACATGCAGGCCCTTCATGTCCCCAAGCTTGGACTGCCCAGCCATAGGGCTTGTTTTGTTGGTTTCAGTTGCTTGTTCGGTGTTTGATGAAAAACGCAGCCCCCAGGAATCTGAAAAACGCAGCCCCCAGGGCGTCCCCTTCTGTAAACTTATGGGGGCAAGATATTTTGTTGCTTGTCTAGGACAACCCTTGAAGGGGTCCAGGTAGTATGCGCTTCATCATGTGCCTTTTCATCTGACAGGCACCGCAACGACTGCAGCTGGCGACTTTCAGTGACCGTCAAAAGCGTGAGGGGCTCTGCCCTTCCCTCCCTCTGCAAGCCATTGGTGGCCCAGCAGGTCGGTCAATGACAAGCAGCTTTTCGGTGGTCGAATCCAAGGCCTTCGGGGAGCGTGGGGATTGCTCCTCACTGCTGTCCTCCCAGCAGAAAGCGTCGGTCTTAGGGGACACCAAAATTGTTGTTGTTCTGTTGGTTTCCCTTGAAAACCACAAACAAGGGGCACCCTGAAAAGAACACAACCATGTGGTTGCTAACACATCACGGGCAAACACATCGTCACCTTCGAGTTCAAACTGATGCATTCCTCCAAAGGAGTTTGAAGCCTTTGGTCGATGCGGAATTCCTGCATCACACGGAAGCAACGAAAACGACTTGTGCTTTCATACTTGCAATGCGTGTTGGGCATACTTCATTGGAGCTTAAGTTTCTGGACGCGTCTGCCAAGATTAAAGTTGCGACATCTGGCTCGCTAACAGTTCAGGTTCAAAGGCTTGATGCTGCATGTGAAAGGAACGAGCTTCCGCGGGCAGCATCAACACACCATTTCCCTGGAAACCTTCTGAACAGGTCGCCTCGGGGCGCTTTGTTGGCTGCCCGCTTTGTTGGCTTGCCGGGCTTACGGGATGCACGCGCTGCGCTCACCTAGATCCACTGAAACCGAGCAAATACTTGGCGCAAAGCTCACTTGGATTGCGAGTAGCTTGCGATAGGTTGCTGCGCAAATAGTATCGCCCTCTCACGTGTCCTAGGTTCCAAGCACGCATACATTACATGTCTTTCTACCGCGCTGCAATGCAGGAACATGCATGAACAACCTTCAGCCATTTCAATTCTCACGTCTAAGCCAGCAATATGACCAGCGACCTGGACTGCCCGAAAGACAGGCAACGGTACCAAGCGAACCTCGCTATATTTGTGCCGCGCCTCCCGGCGCGCTCCCACGTCCAACCCCGTTGTGCTTTCACCGGACTCCCAGGGCAACGTGCAGGTCAGGCAACGGTGTCTCAAAATAGGGAACCCAAAAAAAAGGGGCTTCCGTCCTTTTGGAAGACCCTTCAAAGCCAACAAAAAGGGTTTCACCTATTCTGCCACCCGCGTCCTCTTCCGCGACCTCCGCCCCCGCACCCTCCATCACTGCGACCGCGGCAGGCTTTGCCGGCTCCGGCGGCGGCTGGGCACGAAACAAACAGGCAACCCCGGCCCCCCAAAGAAACTAGCCCCTCCAGTAGAGAGGCTAGAGTAAGGGTACCAGATTTGTTTCTGCAGTCTATTTGAGTAGGGGTTTCTAGGTAAAAGGGCACTATCGGGGAACCCAGGAAAGGATCTGCCATTCTTGGCGAGGTTGCTGCTTTTCGCGTTTGTTGCAGGCTGCAGCTGTCCCACCACTGAACACGCGCATCTTTTGTCTGATTCAAGGCACGCATTCAGCGGGTTTGGGTTTGGGGCGCTCAGGAAATTCCCTGATGGTTTCACTACATTTTCTGGCGACGTCCGACCCGTCCGAATATGGGTGTGTCTTCTTTTGTCGGTACCCCCTTTGGTCGACTTACAGCACAACCAAAAGGAAAACATCTTTCTTTCATGTTTTTCAATGGGGGGGGACATGCTGGCTGTCGTGGGCTAAGCCGCTGGCAAGGCCCTTTTGACATGCAAGCATTCAAGCAACCATCCGCAAAAATAACATCCCCTTGGCTGGCGAAAGGCCCGCTGTTTCCGCAAGGAATCCGACCACACACACACACACACCTTACACACAGGCACACGTGTAGGGCAACACCCCTTGTTCCCAATGTTCTCATTGAAAATCATTGCTGCTTTCCTACAACCCGGCTGTTGCCGAATATGTTTGTGTGTATCGCTTCGTTGGTTTTCTGGACGCTTTGTGATTCTCTCGGATTCCTCCAGTTTTTTTTGCCAATTGGCGGCAAAAAGAGCCCTTGCGTGTTTGACAAACGTCACATGGGAATGAGTGGGGAATGAGTTGTCTGCTTGACCTGCATCCCAACTTCCCAACTTCCTACAAACAAAAAAACATCAGCACAGCATCGCAACATCTCAACTTCCCAACTTCCTGAAAAACAAGGGACCCTCAGCACAGGAATCTGCGCAACACAAGAAAGAACCTGGCACCGCTTTCTGCTTATCGCCGCGGCGATTCCGATTCCGCGCCTTTTGGGGCGCCTCGATGGGCCCCTCCGGCGCCTCCTCCGAGTCGTCGTCCTTGTCGTTGGCTGACCGCCCTCGACGCCGATCGGCCGATCGGGGGCCGGCGGTTTTTTGACGCGTGTGTCTGCGGAATTGTGAGAAAGACGATCGAAACAAGCAAGGGAACAGGGTGTTGAAATTGAAATGAACAAGCTCTACAGTGTCCATTGCGAGTCAACAAGTAAACTAACTAGCACCAAGAAAAAACACGCCAGCTCAGGTTGATGTGATGCGTCAGGACGGAAGCATAGCTTTCGACGGAGCTGGTGTTTCCGAGAATGATTCAAGCAATAACCCAGGCAATACCGGTGCCTTACCACCACATATGGAGCATATTCCATCATGCTACTCACTTGCGCCAAAAGCAGCTGAAAACGATGCGACGCACGGGCACCTCCCAGGCACACGCAGCCAAGGCGCGCTCCGTATCCCGCCCCAGAGCCGCCTTCTGCTGCCATTTCTCCCTCTCTTCCGCCGGCAGCTCTTTCCTCCGAACCAAAGCAATGTCTTAAGCTGAGAGGACGGACCGAAAACGAAGACACCGTTTGCCAGAAGTGCCAAACTTGCCCTGTCACACATCTGTAATGCAGCATGTGGCAAAACAGTTAAACAGACCGGCGGACAGGGCCTTCTGTTTTTCTTCACCATGTGAAACATGCATATTGCATGCGCATGCCTTTGCTGTCTGTGTAGACTTGCCAGTTCGCCGTTCCGGGTTTGTGCGGTTGGACTAGTTTGCCGCCACCCGCTGGCCCGCCGTTGCGGCTTTCCCGGACCTGTGCCTCTCTGATCTTTTCTGTCCGCTTAGATTTGCAATTGAGGCATTGCTGATTCATGCGTCCGGCAAGGGGAGGCCAATGGCTCAGCAGTTGTCCTGGATCGTGGAAGAAAACACATCCTGCATGCAAAGATTGGCCCAACAACTTACAGTTGGCCTTGTGTGGTTTAGAAGCTGTTCTTTTGCCGGCGGCTTGCGGCTGCGCCAAGCACAGCTTAAGACTCCTCGAACATGACTCGTGTCCTGTTGAAAACCCGGCTGATGGCCGGCAAACGCCATGGCTGTGGAAAACGTCCTTCTGGTTTCGGCACAGAACCAGTTGAAACCCGAAAAGTTGATTTTGAACTCACCAGGTGAGAAGTTGCCTCGCTCGGAGCAGACTGGGGTGGAAGCCCACCAAGCGTTGGGCAAAATCTGTTTCTGCCGCTGGTCCAGCTCTGAAATCGCTCAAAGAGAAGAAGGCTAGCATTGCTGCCCTCGGAAAGCTAACGCAACCCTGTTTCTTTGGACCACGTTCAAATGAAGAGCCTTCTTGATGAACAAAGAAGCGGCAGGAACGACACTTCCATGCAAGCTGCTCAAGAGCACAAAGAAGAACAGAAGGGGAGAAGGAGGCATTTGCATCTGATCTGGCAATCTCAGGCTTGCAGTTGTTCAAAGCCGGCTTCCCAATTGAAGCCTCCAGGCTCTATGGCATCATCTTGCTTCGCCGTCAACGTGCTGCCAAGCTTCCATCTGCCAGCTTCTCTGAAGGTGCAGCCAGTTTCCTGAGCTGAACAGCTGGCTTGCCTTGAAGACAAACCCCAACATTCTAGCTGCACGTTCCCCATTCTCTGCAGGGATCCTCCTCTTCAGGGAACTGGCCAAACCCCTGGGACAACGGGCGCTTTCTAAAGAGAACGATGGGTGAGGAGAATGGAAGAAGCATCGAAACCCCAGCCGTGCCAAGTCTCTTGCATCCACAAGGCGTAGCCAGAGAGTCTATGGGGCTTCTTCTTCTCTGAGAACCCCAGGTCCACGTCCACTCGGCAGATGGCAGCGCCCCCCACTTGGTCGCTCGATTTCAGCTTCATGGCCGGCTGGCATTTCGCCTGCGCGTTCCAAAAAACTGAGCTCCACCAGTTTGGCTCCAGCAGGATCATCCTCCAAAACCCGGGCCTCTCACACGGAACCCCTTGGCCCATGTCCCAGAAAACCGTTCGATCCGACCTTGGGCCCACGTGCCAAGAATCGCATCATCGATGGCCATTCAGTTCAGGTCGCTCCTTTCCCCATGAGAGAGCTTCAGAAGGAGGCACAAAGGGAACCCTCCAGGTCTGCCCCATTGCCGGGAGGGTCCCTCGCAGGAGAAGTTTCAGGTGAGAGAGGGACCTGGACTCAAATCGCCTCGCGCTTTCTTTCTGGACGGAACAGCAAACTTCGGGAGCATAGTGTTCTCCAGTTGATCACTTTATTTGAGCCCACTGGGAGTTCGCGTTGGGTTGTTGCCGCTGACAGCCCAGAATCTGAGGAAGTCGGTGGCACTTGCCCAGCGATCCGATGTCTTTGCCCGGGCGATCTCAACCTCCTGTTCCTTTGGCCCGTTTAGCCGAAAGCCGCAGTCAACACATGTGGCAGGCAAGAATGACACGACGACTTTTGACCTGTTGAAGAGCAACGTGTTCGAAAACCATGTGGGGGAGGGGGTGCTACAAAATACGTCCCATGGGCATGCAGAATACGTGGCATGGCCATGGATCATGCGGTCATCCCTAAAATGGATGTTCTAAGAACAAGCTGATCAAAGAGCACGTCGCCTTCAAACCAAGTGACCAGGTGCCATGGTCATTAGCTCGAAGCCATCCGGGCCGCCTCGTCCCAGGGGTATTGAAGAGTCCATCGCCCAAAACCCATTGACTTTTGGCTCCCCGGCTTAGACGGGGGGGGGTTGGGTGCCATGAGCGGGCCCCGTCTTGCTTCGGGTGCGGTCAAGCTGGTCAGATCAGACAGCCCGTGGCACAAATCCGGTGCTTTTGGGCTCTCGGCCGATTTCCTGCAAGCCAACACGCAAACATAGACCGATGAAAATGTTCAAGCAATAAGCTGAATGCTGCCCGGAAGAGCATCTACGCCAGAGAAACCCAGGCCGACGAATGAACCAACCCCACTTCCCCCTCGCAAACTGCCTTGAGGGTCGTGGGCCGGAGATTCTGCACAGGGAAGCACCTTGCGCAAGAGGCACTTCAGAGAGTTCTTCCATGCCCTCGTCCGTGCAAGAAAACTGTTCATGTTGGCTAGTTGGCTGGGGATTGGCTGGGAGAACTGGCAAGTCACTCCTGGACAATGGCAGAGGCCGTGCGATCTCGAAGGCAGTTCTACCTGCGAAACAGAAAGCCGGATACAAACTCAACATCCCCCAAGACCATGTCAGTGGTCGACGTCAAGAGGGTTCGACGTCAAGAGAGCTCGAGCGCAGCGGCTTGGTATGGTCCAATGTGACGTGCCTTGAAGTCAATCCCAATCGCCTCCAATCGAACACTACTCTTCGCTGATGGCTCGAGAATCTAAGAAACACCTTGGCGCTTCCCCTGATTCCACAGAAATGCAGCCTACCTAGCCCTGCTGGGAGCAGCAGCTGCAGCGCTAGTCATGCCATATGAGCTGCTAACAACCAATTGCCGCAGCCTGGCGCCAGAGTGAGCAACCGCGCAAGGCAGTGCAGTTTGCCACACCACCCATGAATGTTTTTTTTCTCTCTCTCTCTCTCTCTCTCGCTCTCTCTCTCTCTCTCGCTCTCTCTCTCTCCCGTTGCATCAACCATTGGTACTCCCAGCTTTGCAGACCTACATTCCTGCTGGTGTCCATCAGTAACAGCTCCTTAAACTGCGGTTTGAGAATCGCCTGAGGGCAAAGCCTCATGCGATTGCTGCAGGGGAACCCAACATTTCGGGAATGGGCCGACTCAGGGACCCGGCCAATTGCCGTTTTCTTCGTGGCTCGCTTTCTCTCTTGCCGTCCCGATTCCCGAGCCCGCCCTCACCAAGTGACCCCGGTCGCGTCAGATACCTCTCCGAGGCACAGGGCATGGCCCTTCGCACTGGCCACCAGCAATAAGTCCCGCTCCGTGCAGCGATGCACCCACCGCAGCTCATCCTTCCTGGCCCAAGGGGCCGAGACCGAAAGGGGCAGACAGACCTAGGCCTTCATATAGCTGAACCTTTGGAGTTGCAAATCGAGTCATGGTCACGTGCCTGGCTTGGTGTGTTCTGCTTTATCGTGTTGTTGGTTTAGCTGGTTAGCAAGGCATCCCTTGAAGGGGTAGTTTCATCCCGAAGGGCTGTCAGCGAAGCCCACACCACTTCCGAGTGGATCGTAGACATCCGTTAGCCAACAGCAGCTGAGTGTACTGCACAACTGTACAAACGTCATACATGCGCTGCATGCAAGCGTATGGCCACACGCTATGCCGTACATACGCATGCATGTAAAGTAATGAAAATTTAAGTTGACGAAATGAAATGCAATGCAATGTAGTGAAATGCCATCTACTAGGTGTATGCCTGTGTGCCTGTATGTATGCATGTATGTATGCTATGTTATGTTGTGTTACGGTATTGTACGGCACCTTACGGTATGGTATGGTATGGTAATGCATATAATGCGTGCAATGTATTTAGCGCATGTAGTATAAGTAATGTAGGTAACGCATGTATTGTATGTAAAAAGTAATGTAGGTAACGCATGTATTGTATGTAATGTACGTAGTGTAGGTAATGTAAGATAAAATGTGAAGCACGTGATGTATGTAGTGTTCGTAGTGTGGGGAATCGAAAAATATTGTCATGTATGTACTGAACGTATTGTATGTATTGTATGTGTGTTCGTGCTGTATGTCATGTGCAAAACATATGCTAGCGAAAAGCTTAGGGGGTGAGCGCCCGAAGGGGTGAGGAAGCAACACAGAATCAAACGGAATCATCCTCTAAAACTTGCATTTCCACCAAAAACGTCTAAAACCAGCGTCCCTGCACAGCGAGCTGGTTAAGCAGCGCGGGCGCCTGGAGTGAGCTCGATACAGCCGGACAATTTCTTAAAACTGGGCAGCTTTTTTTGTCGTCGCGTCACTGGCTGTCCGGCTCGTCCGGTTCAGGGGCCCGAAGCCACCTTGGCCCGGCCACCAAGTGCAAGAGCTATTTCTCTGTCCAGTTGGTCTTGTGCCAGCTGGTCCGGCTCCTGGCACAGGCGGGCAGCCTCTGCCAACAGCCGCTTCCGCGGGCACAGGGTCAGCAGCTGGCGCGCGAATGTCACAGTAGCATCCTGGAGCGATGTGAGATTTCTAACATTGGGCATGAAATGTAAGTCTCCAGCGACATACTAGTGGGTGCGACTGGTCAAGCCAAAAACCTTGCCAGTGCCAATTCAGTGTCTTCCCCTGGCGCAAGAACTGCCTTCCCTACAAGCACCGCCATGTCTTGCTCAAAGGCATGGCCATCCACGAGTGTGTCGGGCATTTCGGCGGGTCGAATGGCAAAGCGCGCTGGAGCCACAGCGCTGTCAAACCCACAAAGGGACAGCCGATGCGCAGCGACCGGTCAAACTTCACAATCCTGGCACACGAGTGCTACTAAGCCCGGCCCTTTCTATCTCTCTATTTCTTTCTAGGCATGGTTCCACGTTAAGAGCTGCCGCATGCATGCCCGCGGAAAGCCAGCTGGATCCCAGCTGCCGATGTCGAAAGCCATCCGGCCCAATGCCGAATGCCATCTGCTCAGGCGATGTGCTGTTCCTTGCGCCTTAACTTGTTAAATTTGGAGATTTGCATGCTACACTTGCATGCTTGGGCCCTGGACATTGCCTTTCGGAGCTGTGGCGGAGCTGCAAATCCCCATGCCCCAAGCGACCGCCGAGGGAGAGTGGTGTTCTTTTGTTTCCTTGTTGTTTCTTCTTTTTTCTGCTTGTTGTTGCATCCAAGCCTCGCCCCGTCGGAGCCATGTAAATCATGAAACGATGTATGTAAATCATGAAGCCTATGTAAGGTATGTAAGGCATGCAAGGTATATAGTGTATGTAGTGCATGTAATGCTTGTCGTACATGCAACCTATTGTGCAACGTAAGTAACGTAAGCAACGTATGCAAACGCATGCGTTGCACGTAACACATGTAGCGTATGTAACGTATGTAGTGTTGTATGTAGTGTACGCAACGTGTGTCCTCCCGTGTAATGTATGTAGTGTATGTGGCGTGTGCGCATGACATGTATGCAATGCATGCTGCGTATGCAATGTAAGTATTGTATGTGATGGGTGTATGTGTGCTTGTTTGTTTGCACGTCGCGCGTATGCATGGGTACACACATTTTTCCACTCAACCGTTTCGCTTCCCAACCTCCAAGGGACATTCCAGTGCGCCAAGAATACGCCCCTAATGGTGGTCTATGATTTGCCCAACGGAAAGCGCCTGCCTTTCTTACTGTTGATGGTGCTTGGCGTGGATTTTGTCCATCCATCGTGGGCATTCCCGAAAGCGTCGCCTTGCACAGAACATCTTGCACAGAGCAGCTTGCCCAGAGCCATTTGCATAAAGCCACAGGCATCTGGGCCAACTTGCCGTAGCTACTTGCACAGAGCCATCTGCGCAGGCTACTTGCGCAGAGCAACTTGGCACAGAGCGATCTGCGCAAACATTAGTCTGGGCATGGTCTGGTCACGATAGTAAGTGTGGGCGTAGCCTGGGTGCGAACAGTCTGGGTAAAAAGGTGGGTCCCTTGGGCCGAGCTCTTGGGTAGACAGCTATGCAAGCTAAGGTTACGTTTCTATAGACAAAAACCTTAACGCGCATGAGTGAGCTTGGTAAGATTTGTGGGATTGCTGTCATAGCACGGGATTGCGACCCTCTGTGGAGATCGGCGTGGTCGATGTCAATCAGTTCAGGACTTTCTGTTGCCGACTCGCTTCTTGAGAACCCCTTTTGGTGACTTTCAATCCGCAACCACAAGGACAAAACGCACTCCCTTCTGCGTGTTCCCTTTTTTACGCCAAACATCGACCTCTCCCAGCCCTTGGCCGTCTCGCTTGGCAAGCCGAGCCGCCCTTCCAGGGGGCACGCGGCGCTGAGCTTTCCGGACCGCAGCTTGAAGCTGCCCAGCGCAATTCGCTTGGCCAAGCCCTGGCGAGTCACCACCACCACGAACTCCGAGTCGCAGTCCTCACGTGGGGAGAAAACCGGAAGGGTGGACCCCGCCCGTTGGCTTTTGCTGCTCTGTTTTTGTTTTGTTCTTGCTTTGCTCTTTTGCGGGGGCGCAGGGGGTTCTGGGCCAGGCACGGCATTGTTTGGCCACAGGCAAAGTCCTTGAAACATCGCCTCATTAGTGCCAAAAGATGGGCCAACACTTGAAATGTTCCAAACCTCGGAATTTCTGGTTGGCTTGACGCCTTACGGGTACTTCTTGCTGGAAAGCATAGACCCAGACCTCCAGGACTCCAGGAACCTCTGGCTTCAGCCCAGTCCGGTCCTTCAGCGCCTGGGGAACCGAGATGACCGCAGCCACCGAGTCGCCCTTCGGCAAACTCGGCGCCAGCCTCGGCTCAAGCGGCACGTGTCCATTTTGTGGAGGATTCGCACCCCCCCCCCCCAAAAAAAAAAAAGATGGCGGCTTGAAAGAATCACGGAAAAAGGGACCCTCAAAAAAAAAGAAAGAGACACACCCTTTGGCCGAAAGCAAACAGCGTGGGTGTGTTGAGCTGCTATTTGGTATGAAGCTTCTCGGCCTGGGGACGAGGAGCGGTTTCGCTACGTAAGCTTCCGCCCTTCCCGCGCCAACCGCGCAAACAAAGGCGCACATACCTGCAATCACCCCATACGGTGAGAACCGTGAGTGACCATCCGCTTCCGCGAATCCTCTGCTTGGCCATCTCCTTGTCTTGTTCTTGGCGCGGAAAAACAACAACAAAGGGGCGGAGGTCACGCTCGCGAGGCAGTTTTCGGCGCTTGGGACTCTTTTTGCCCGGGAGCTGAGCCAAAGGCACCGCCACGTTCTTGTTCTGCTGCATCAGCGGGACATCCAGTGCCTCACGGGAGGGACCGGTGGCAAAAACCATCGGCTGAAAAAAACAGGAAAGTGTCGAAACCTCTTGGGGGACCTGCCTACCTCAACAATCGAGGCAGAGAAACACGGACCTTCTGAGAGGTGTAAGAAGGGGCAGCCAAGATCTCTAGGACTTGACATAGCTTGCGAAATCGCAAGAAGAGGTTGAGCAGAAGTGGTAGGCGGTGGCGGGAGGCTGTGGAGATCAGATGGCAGGTGCTGCAAACTAGCAGCTTGCAGCCCCAAGCACCTCACCCGAAGAATGCCAGAACCCCGAAATCCTTCTCAAGTCACTGGAAAGGAATCCTTTGCCTTGCAAAAACTCCAACACGACCTCCGAAGGAGTCTCACCCAAAGCGCCTGCATCATGAAGACGTTGCCCTGGCAGGTGAAGGCCAGCAGCGCGTCAAACTCTCGGCAGGCGAAGGCCGCGCTGATGGCCGCCGGCTCCTCCTGCGGCCCAAAATCGGCGGCCGCGGCCAAAATCCGTGGCCGTTGGTCTGCTGGGGTCATGATGTTGACCGTTTCTAGGGCTCAGAAAGTCAGACATGGGGGTGCTTCCTTTACCCTTCCACTTAGGGGGTGACTTTGACAATGGTAAAATCATGGGAGGTTGACGGTGGTACTGTAGTTTTGAAGCACGGCTTGATGGTAGACTGAATTGGACCCAAGTCCCGAAAATGGGTTGATTCCCGTAACATTTCCGTTTCCGGGTGGCTTGTCGAGAAACATGCACAACTTTTCTGCAACACCCTGGAAATGGCCGGCCAGAGCATCTCGGGCCTCCTCCTCCACCTTCTCAGACTCTTTCTTGCGGGCAATGGTCTTGCCACGGCCGCCCTTGCGGACGCCTTTCCAGCGGTCGGTGCGGATGCGCTTGATGTGCGAGAAGTTGTCGCTGAGCACCAGCACACCTCGGCTCCGACGAGCACACCCTTAACCGTTCAACCCCCCTGCCCCGCCCCTAGCAGAAACTGACCAATGTGGATGTGCCTTCTTTTGGGGGAACGCCCCAAAATGGTGGTTTTCCTGGACTCTCATTCAAACACCCGCCAAAAAGGGGTTCCCCCCCCCAAAAAAAATGCCGCACGCAGCCCCCGTTTGCCGCACACGAAGGAATTCATTGCATGGCATGCCAAGTCACACTGGCGGTTCACCGAGTTGTCGTCCTCAAAGCGCCCAGCCTTTCTCGACATCTTTTGCGCCTCTCTTTGCTCTTTCTGCTCCTAAAGCCAGACGCAAATGAGTGTGCCTTTCTTTGATGGTCCCCCTTTTGGGGTGGTTTAGAGGCGGAACCAACAGGAAAACCACAAGTTCGGGGGTCTTGTGTTTTAAGACACCCCCAAATGTTCAAAAGGCCCAAGCCCGTCACCTACCGTTTCAACATTTCAACCAGCGGCGCTGTACCACGAGCACTTGCGGTTCTTGGGGCGCGAGCCTGTGCGGGCGTGGCATCTGACACAGCACGTGGCAGTGGCAAACTGCAAACTCGAAGCCAACGGCTCTTGGCACTGCCATGTGTGGCTTGCACCGTGACATTCAATCCTGTGGCCCCAAACCCAAACGCAGAACCTTCGTGCACCAGGGATCCAAGTGCAGTCATTCACAAATGCTTGTCACCACGGCCATCCCGGCCATTCTGGCTCATCGCGCGGGCTCGCAAAAACACCAAGGCTACACTCTGGGCAGGAGGCGTTCGCAACTTTTCGCAGCTGGCCGTGGTCGCAACACCTCTGTTGTTGCTGAAGTATACCTCACTTGCCCCTTAGGGACCTGGAAATACAAGGTGATCACCTGATGGGCTCTGAAAAAATGGACCAAATCAGGGATACCAAAAGGTTGAAAGGTCGGCTTTGGGCAAGTGAGATTTTGGATAGTGACGCTTCCTGACCTTTCACCGAACACTTTCGCCCGCATATCAATCAGTTGGATGCGGCATAGACTCAAGCCATCCACTTGAACCTGTTGTTGATCGTCTTATGGCCATGGTCAGATTGGTAAAATCATGCTCAAATAAAGGTGTCATTGCCTGATGAGATTTCAAATGGACTCAGCACAAGACTTTCACCCCGATTGGTGACCTCCCATTCATTGATTTCAAACAAGTGTGCTGCGAGTTGGCGGCAGGCATTTGGGGATCTCAGGATACTCCTGCTTTGGCCGCCGCGAAAGCAAACATCTCAGTTTGATCGCTGGCTGCTGTTGGGAATTCGGCCTGCCGTCCCTATTTGCACTTCCTGGAGCACAGGCGTTTGTCATGGTTGGTAACAAGTAATCATGTGCCAGAAAATCTCTCCATATGGAGCCATGACATCTGTTGGTCCTAGATCTTGGGTTAATAGAGTGCTTTCCCCCCAAAGGTGCAGGATCCCCTCTAAAATCATTCTCCACATGCCCATGGCTCCCTTTCCTCTCGCCAGCCTCTACCGTTTCGTTGTTTTTTTGCGCCGCTTCCGAAACGAGAAACCACACCGCCGGCTCCTCGGCTTCCACGGCATCCAGCGCCTCCTCCAACTTCACCAGGTCCCGCCTCGGCGATCGGAGCGAGCGCCAGCGCGCGAGCAATGGGCGGGACCCCCGAAACTCTCCGTCCGCTTCTCAAATGGCTGCGGGAAAAAAAGGTACCAAAATGGGTTGCCCTGGTAAAAGGAAACATGGACTAAAACCTGCGGTTTGCTAGTGGTTTCATTCTGACCCACAACATCCCACAACCAAATGGAACCCCCCGCCCCAAAACCACAAGCTCAGCAGTCGCGTCTTGAACAAGTACCGTGTCCCGATAGTTCTGGGGGTTGGGCCCTACCTTCCACGCCGGAATTTCATCCAAGCTGCAGCCAGGTAAGTAGCTTCCCCTCTCTGGGAACTCTTCACCAAGTCATGCCCAAGCCAACCACCTGAACTCTCACAAACCATCCCAATCCAACCAGTCAACAACCCAACCCGACCCAAACCCAAACCCAACCCAAACCCAACCAAACCCTGCCAACCCTCCCAACCCTCCCGACCCTCCCGACCCACCCAACCCAAACGCAACCCAAACCCAACCCAAACCCAACCAACCCTCCCAACCCAAACACAACCCAAACCCAACCCAACCCTCCCACCCCGACCCAAACCCTCCCAACTCCCAACCCAACCCTCCCAACCCAAACCCAACCCAAACCCAACCCCAACCCCTCCCCAAACCCCTCCCAAACCCCTCCCAACCCCACCCTCCCCTCCCAACTCCCAACCCTCCCAACTCCCAACCCACCCAAAGCCCTCCCAACCCCACCCTCCCCTCCCAACTCCCAACCCTCCCAGCTCCCAACCCACCCAAAGCCCTCCCAACCCACTACAACCCACTACTCCTCCCCCTGCGGCCAAAGGTCTCCCACAGCTGCTGCAGAGTGGTGGCCTTCAGCTCGTCCAGCTGCCGCCGCTGCAGCTCCAGCTGCTGCATGAGCTTCGCCACCTGAGCCAAACCCGAAAGACCCATGGAAGACACAGACAAAAAGGGATGCATAGTCATATATATATATATATATGTATAGGTATATCCGCCGACATTGCTCGGCGTGTCGGACACCTAAGAGAGGATAGAGGCCCACCCGACGTCTGATACGTGGGGGGGGGGGGCCCCCCCCCCCCAAGGACCGCGCGGCAATTTGATGACGTTCCACTAAACGTAGTCTTCGGGGACCCGGTGTCGCAAAACAGGGGTCCCAGGCTCGATTCCCCCTGCCGGCTTTTTTGCTGGCTTGGGCTTCCTGCATCCTTTTGCCGAAAATCTGGAAAAAACTCTGTGTTTTTGGACATCATCTTTGCGAAAACGCTGAAAAACAGTGTTTTTTTGCGGGAAATACTGGGGAGCAAAGGGGAAGTGCAAGGATACATACATACATACAGACATACATACAGACAGACATACAAACATACATACATACATTACATTACACAACATCACATTACATTACTTTAAATTACATCGCATACATACATACATACATACATACATACATACATACATACATACATACATACATACATACATACATACATACATTACATTACATTACATTACATTACATACATTACATTACATTACATACATTACATTACATTACATACATACATACATACATACATACATACATACATACATACATTACATTACATTACACATACACATACACATACATACATACATACATACATGCATACATACTATACATACATACATACATACATACATACATACATTACATTACATTACATACATTACATTACATTACATTACATACATACATACATACATACATACATACATACATACATACATACATACATACATACATACATACATACACATACATATTACATACATACATACATACATACATACATACATACATACATACATACATACATACATACATACATTACATACATACATACATACATACATACATACATACATACATACATACATACATACATACATACATACATACATACATACATACATACATACATACATACATACATACATACATACATACATACATACATTACATTACATTACATTACATTACATTACATTACATTACATTACATTACATTACATTACATTACATTACATTACATTACATTACATTACATTACATTACATTACATTACATGCATACACATACATACATACATACATACATACATACATACATACATACATACATACTATACATACATACATACATACATACATACATACATACATTACATACATACATACATACATACATACATACATACATACATACATACATACATACATACATACATACATATACATACATACATACACATACATACATACATACACATACATACATACATACATACATACATACATACATACATACATACATACATACATACATACATACATACATACATACGAGAGAGGGAGATTGGGGAGAGAGTGACTTGGGGGGATGGGGAGGATGGGGAGCGGAGGGAGGGAGAGAGGACGACAGAACACACCAGGGAGACAAGGGAGAGAGGAAGAGGGAGAAAAGGGAGAGGACAATGTCGGCGGACTGAGCCGGAGGCTCTAAAGTATGTATGTGTGTATAGCATACTCATATAGCATGTATGTACACATATATACAAAAATATGTATGTATACATAGTTCATGCTTGTATGTGTGTATATATATATATAGCTAGATTTGTATGTAGTTGTGAACATGAAAAACATGTATCTGTATATATTATAAGCATATTATGCTTATATATGCATACATGGATACACCCAATTGCACCCACGGGTACAGGCCTTCCGGCCCAAAGCCGCCTTTTAGGAGCAAACTACAACCCCACGGCACTCTTTGGGGCACTCGCAGGGTCGCAGCCCGGTTTGCGGCTTTTGCACAGCGTGTGGGGATGGCCTCATTTTCCACCCGGCACAGCCAAGCGAGCCTGGCTGTAAACCACTGAGATGGATGTGAAAATTGGGAGCCCCTCCATGTCTAGGTGAAAGCTGTTCGTGTTCAACAAAGAGATACCCTCTTTTTTTGCAACACACCCACATGTGCCGTGGCGAAGGCCCCGTTGCACCCCAACCCAACCACATAGTTGCCTATTCGTTGACCTGGCACTCCAATGCCCCGGAATTTGAGCCAAAAGTAGAGTCCAGGCGAGGTTGCCTTGTTGCACGGGCGCTACAAAGAGGCGACACGCCCCTTACCCATGAGGCGTAGGGCCAAGATACCCCAAGCTCTTGCCTTTGGACACCCTTTAGGCTTGCGGTTGGTTTTCCTGATTTCCAGGGCTTGAATCTGAACCAGCCCAAGCACGCTTTGCGACCGGAAGCTCTTCCGGTCGCAAAAAAACACACACTCAAAACCACATCCCTCAAACATCACTCAGCTGGGCCGGCGTCTCGCCTTCTCTTCTGTGAGGCTCCAGAGCTTGAGCTTCAGAAGGTATGCGTAGCCCTCCTCAGACTGGGCCAAAACAAAAATCGCCAGTTTCAAGCAAATGGCGACCCCGGATTAATAAACCTCTGCGTATTCATGTGGGGGGAAGCCTTGGTTTGGGCAATAATTTTCTCTAATTGGGTTAATGGTAAAGGGAGATGATAAAAAGAGAGAAATATAATCGTAATGACAGATGAGGAAGTAAGGAATAGAAAGTCAATTAAAAGTAAAAATATTTATGAATGAACATGCATTAGAAGATAGAAATGCCCGGCACGGAAGCACTATTTAATAGTTATCGTTGAAGTTCTCGTTGTATTTGATCTTTAATGTTGGTATTTTTCATCTCTTCCTTTCCTTATGGTCGTTGTTTCCGCCTCAATTCTCAGTCTTAACAGTGAGGAGGAAGACCATAAGATAGAAAAGGAAGGACAAGAGATGATGGATACAAAGTGAAGAGAGGAATGGATATAATTGGAGGTTCTCTTTCAACCTTCCATCACTCAGCTCTGTATCCACGACCCGGGATTTGGTCGAGAGGTGAGTGATAAGCCTTTCTCTTTCTCTGTTGTCTTTCTCTTCATACCATCTCCTCGCTGTCACACCAAGAATCCAGACAGCGGATGGGAAAGAAGGAGAATGAAAGAGAAGTCACTTTATAACCATTCAATCCTTAACAGATAGAGGGATGAGTGCTCCAAACGCAGGGATGAGTGAAGGGCTGTTTCCCATGGACAACTTTCTTTTACCTTCGTCCCACCGTTGCACGGATGCCCTTCTTTTACTCTTCATTCCGTCCCTTTTCCTTTCTATTTCTGGAGTATCCGATGGACCAGAGGGAAAGAGGGGACGGAAGGGATAGCACTTCACCTACAAGCCATTCCATTATATTATCTTTATCTTAGCTCTGGAAGTTACATGGCTTGAGTGAGTGATAGAGAGCGTTCCTTTCTCTTTCTTGTTCTTGAGTTTGGAGGAAGCCGGTGGCTAAGACTCTCCAAACAAACAAGAAAGAGGAAAGGGAAGCATTCTTTATCCACATCCATCTACAAATCACTTTAGGATCTGGAACAAGAATGGGAGAGATGAATGAAGCTTCCCGTCTCTTCGTTCCTCATCCCTTTCTCTTCTTTGTGTGTCACCGACGGTTCCCAAACCCAAAGGCAGAAAGGAATGAACGAAGTGAATGGGAAGACACACAAAGGAAAGGGAGATGAGGGATTTCTAATAGCACGAGCAGTATTCGTCCGGGGTCAGCATAAATCGATTTTGCCCAGACCCGCCGTCGTTTGTCAATCCCTGTTGGTCGAAACCACGCAAGACGGGGACTTGCTTCGGGAATCGCAGCCCCAGGAAAGGATCTTAAGACAGCCAGTGAAAGCAATGGCTCCCTCGGCGCGCCAGATTCCCCAATCAGCCAAGTCACAGACCCAGACTATACACTATATGCACAAACCTACGCCAGCCACCAGATACAAACCCCCCATTCACAAGGCAGAAAGCAAGCCGCCAAGTCAAAAAATAACGACTCAGACCCGAAACCAGACGCCTTTCCACGACTCGCCCCTAGGCCAAAGTCTCAGAGCCAGCAAGGTCCACCCGTTCCTCCTTGAGCTTCCGCCGCTTCCGCGGCATCTCCTCATCCTCCCCCGCCTGGGGTTGGCAGTGCAACCCTTCCACTTGCTTAAGCTAAGGGATGCTACAACCCAAATTCGGACTCGTTGAAAGGGCCCCGAAGCTGCACTGAAAGCCCCCAGGCAATGCAAGGCTTGTTGCAAATGCACGCTGATCCCAGTGAAAGTATGTTGGGCGTGGTGGGTACGAGGGGCAAGGTGGGAACGAGGCTGGCGCGCGGGGTTAGACTTTCGATGAATGCCATTCATCCTTTTTCACCCTGGTACCACCCCTCCAGCGCAGGTGGTGGCAACGCCCTAGGATTACATTGGTAGAACTACAAAAACTCTGGCCATATGAAACTGCAGGAATGGAAATGCATTCGCACAGGGGCAAGAACGGCGAAACGATATCAACTTGTTCCCATGCTTGGGCACTGCCCTTGCCTATCCTGCTCGCGGATTTACATGAGACGACAACATGACAGCTGGCTTGCTACCCCGTGCAAATGAACATGGGCCAAACAGGGAACAGGGGGTCCCCCGAATCTAAAAAGGATGGCTAAAAATCTGCCGGAGAGTATCGACAAGGGGGGATCCAGCCCGCTTCAAAGGCAAAGCCCATTGAAAAATGAACATCCTTGCCACATCCAGCAAGAGTCTGCAGCAAGAGATGACGGTAGACGGCACACCTTTCTTCGTGCCAGCGTGTGCCTGGAAAAAAAGCTAGCCGGTTTGGTGGCTGCGTATTTCTTATTGTCCAGCTGGCTGATCAAATACGTTTGCACTACGGACAGCAAACCTTCCAAAGGGTTGGGATACAGGAAATTCTACAGGAAAACAGCCTAGTTACGGTGTTTTGGGGCCATTTCCTGCAAATTTTCCTGCCACCAAACCCTTTGAAAAAACAATCAAAACCTAATTTACTAGGGCCCTGAGGTTCATCAGTTCGCATCCAAGGTACGTACCGGGCGATCAAAACCGAGCAAAACGAGCTTGCCTCCAGCTCCTGCTTGGTCCTCAGGCCGAGCTGGCGCATGTCTGCACAAACCTGGCACGGAGTCGCAGAACTGCTTCTCCCCCACGCCAAGTTGAGTCAATGTGGGTGATTTGTTTTTTGAAGGGACCCCAACAATTGTGGTGTTCCCTTTGGCGTCCCTTTACCCGCCCAAACCAGGGTGCTCCACCCAAAAAACGGAGTGCCACATCCATATTCTCCCAGCCCCCCCCCTCTCCCCAGCTTTCACACTCCATCGCCTGCGCGTTGGCCCGGTCTTCGACCTGCAGCTGGCCGTCCAGGATCAGGCGGATGAACCGGGCCTTCTCGCTGAGCACCGCGGCTTCGGCCATGAGCTGCCCCATGCGATGCGCCTTTCGCTTCTCATACCTCGGACGCGCATGAGGGCTGTGGCAAAACCGACCTGCTGCGCGCTTCAGCGCGCGCGGGCGCGGGGGGTTGGCGAAGTTGCGAGTGGACCTACGGCTGGTTGCGTTACCCAACGTTGCCACCATTTTTTCCCGGCACTGGAGGCCAGGTGCAGGTGCGGTGTTGCAAGTTCAGCCCCGCTGCGACCCCATTTGGCCCTTTCTCGGAGTCAGTTCTCCAGGTGGGCGTTGGGAAACAGATTGCTCTTCGTTGGCCGTGTTCCAACGTGGAAGCAACGAAGAAAAGGATTCGGCTCCTTTTGCCTGCAATCCAAAACCATGTTGCTTTAACATGATGTTAGCCGTCATGGGTGGGGGGGCACTACCTACCAGGACACATTGAGAAGAGAAGGTCACACCGTCGCTTCCCGCAAGCAACGAGGTGACGCTATGTCGCCGCCACGACCTGTCTAACTCATCCCTCTCGAGGCCGACTCCAGGAACTCAGTGTGACCAAATCGCTCATGTTGGACCCCCCACCCAGTTGCACACTGCAAGGTTTTTACCGTTTCCTCCTACACGTCAGTGAGGCTCTCACCTACGACGCTTTCGGATTTCCAGGTGCCCTGGGAAGGATCCAAGGATCTCAAAATCTGACACCGGGGTGCTAAGTCCGCGTCGCGACTGGTGGGCGTGTCTGTTCATACGGAAACCTGGAGAATGGGTGGTCTCCCGTTACAATCCCCCTAAGCAACCCCACACACCGTGTGTTGAAAAACACACACACACCCCAAAAAAAAGGAGAAAAATAACAAGAAAAAAAGAGGCGAAACAAAACAAAACGAAACAAAAACAGCAAACAAACAAACAAACAACAAGACACAAAGACTTCTGGTCGAGCCCGAGTGAATTGGCCAGATCCGAGGTACATTCCTAAGCGCACTTCTGCAAAGTCCCGGAGGATCTCCTCGGGGGACTCGTACTTCTTGAGCTTGCCTTTGGCATCGAAAAGGTACATGTTGGTGCACGCGATCCTAGGGCAGGGGAAATGGGGCAAAGGAAGAGAGGAACAAGACGACAAGGGAGGAACATGTGGAAAACGGGGAAAAAATCGGAGGGGACACGGCGAACATTGATTGGAAAGGGGAGGAGGCGACCATCGAGTCTGTTACTTGCCGATCACCAAAATGAAACAGAGCCTGGGGAAAGGAGCGGCGCAAAGAGCTTGAAGCTGCTGAGCCGAGAGTGCAAAAACGGCCGAAGAAAAATCATGGACGCCCTTTTTCAAGCCCCCCCTAGCGCTTCTGTAGACCAAAACTTCGAACTATAACCCCGCTTCAAAGCCCTCGCCGAGGGGCGAAGACTTGAGGCGCAGCGTCTTCTCGATGCCCCGCTGCTCCGCCAGCGCAAACTTCTCCGGGAGCCTCTGGCGTTTCGGGAGCTGCGCCAGAAAAGCCCAGTGCCGGGTCCAGAAAAAAGAGAAGAAAAAGAAGAAGAAAACAAAAAGGGGGGGGGGGGGAAAAACCAGTGGAGCCCCCCCCCCCCCCCCGGGTTCAGAATTACCCCGGCACGAGACCCCAAACAGTGATAGGCGGCGGTCACACGCTGCAGAGTATTGTGCGGGCTGCGCCGCAAAACGGCGGTTGCTGTCAGGAAGCTGCAACATCATTTTGCGGTATATGCGCGCACATTCACAAAGACAAGGACACGGCCTGGAACAGACACGCGCAAGAGAATGCAGCAGACACGTGTCGAAGCCAGCGCCATGGTTGTGTGTGCGTGTGTGTGTGTGTGCTTGTTTGTGTGTTTGTGTGTTTGTGTGTTTGTGTGTTTGTGTGTTTGTGTGTTTGTGTGTTTGTGTGTTTGTGTGTTTGTGTGTTTGTGTGTTTGTGTGTTTGTGTGTTTGTGTGTTTGTGTGTTTGTGTGTTTGTGTGTTTGTGTGTTTGTGTGTTTGTGTGTTTGTGTGTTTGTGTGTTTGTGTGTTTGTGTGTTTGTGTGTTTGTGTGTTTGTGTGTTTGTGTGTTTGTGTGTTTGTGTGTTTGTGTGTTTGTGTGTTTGTGTGTTTGAGTGTTTGTGTGTTTGTGTGTTTGTGTGTTTGTGTGTTTGTGTGTTTGTGTGTTTGTGTGTTTGTGTGTTTGTGTGTTTGTGTGTTTGTGTGTTTGTGTGTTTGTGTGTTTGTGTGTTTGTGTGTTTGTGTGTTTGTGTGTTTGTGTGTTTGTGTGCGTTTGTGCGTTTGTGCGTTTGTGCGTTTGTGCGTGCGTTTGTGCGTTTGTGCGTTTGTGCGTTTGTGCGTTTGTGCGTTTGTGCGTTTGTGCGTTTGTGCGTTTGTGCGTTTGTGCGTTTGTGCGCGTTTGTGCGTTTGTGCGTTTGTGCGTTTGTGCGTTTGTGCGTTTGTGCGTTTGTGCGTTTGTGCGTTTGTGCGTTTGTGCGTTTGTGCGTTTGTGCGTTTGTGCGTTTGTGCGTTTGTGCGTTTGTGCGTTTGTGCGTTTGTGCGTTTGTGCGTTTGTGCGTTTGTGCGTTTGTGCGTTTGTGCGTTTGTGCGTTTGTGCGTTTGTGCGTTTTTGCGTTTTTGCGTTTTTGCGTTTTTGCGTTTTTGCGTTTTTGCGTTTTTGCGTTTTTGCGTTTTTGCGTTTTTGCGGTTTTGCGGTTTTGCGGTTTTGCGGTTTTGCGGTTTTGCGGTTTTGCGGTTTTGCGGTTTTGCGGTTTTTGCGGTTTTGCGGTTTTGCGGTTTTGCGTTTTTGCGTTTTTGCGTTTTTGCGTTTTTGCGTTTTTGCGTTTTTGCGTTTTTGCGTTTTTGCGTTTTTGCGTTTTTGCGTTTTTGCGTTTTTGCGTTTTTGCGTTTTTGGGGTTTTTGGGGTTTTTGGGGTTTTTGGGGTTTTTGGGTTTTTGGGTTTTTGGGTTTTTGGGTTTTTGGGTTTTTGGGTTTTTGGGTTTTTGGGTTTTTGGGTTTTTGGGTTTTTGGGTTTTTGGGTTTTTGTGTTTTTGTGTTTTTGTGCTTTTGTGCTTTTGTGTGTTTGTGTGTTTGTGTGTTTGTGTGTTTGTGTGTTTGTGTGTTTGTGTGTTTGTGTGTTTGTGTGTTTGTGTGTTTGTGTGTTTGTGTGTTTGTGTGTTTGTGTGTTTGTGTGTTTGTGTGTTTGTGTGTTTGTGTGTTTGTGTGTTTTTGTTTGTGTTTGTGTGTTTGTGTGTTTGTGTGTTTGTGTGTTTGTGTGTTTGTGTGTTTGTGTGTTTGTGTGTTTGTGTGTTTGTGTGTTTGTGTGTTTGTGTGTTTGTGTGTTTGTGTGTTTGTGTGTTTGTGTGTTTGTGTGTTTGTGTGTTTGTGTGTTTGTGTGTTTGTGTGTTTGCGTGTTTGTGTTTGTGTGTTTGTGTTTGTGTGTGTGTGTTGTGTTTGTGTGTGTGTGTGTGTTTGTGTGGTTGTGTGTGTGTTGTTGTGTGTTTGTGTGTTTGTGTGTTTGTGTGTTTGTGTGTTTGTGTGTTTGTGTGTTTGTGTGTTTGTGTGGTGTGTTTGTGTGTTTGTGTGTTTGTGGGTGTTTGGGTGTTTGCGTTTGTGTGTTTGTGTGTTTGTGTGTTTGTGTGTTTGTGTGTGCGTGTTGCGTGTGTGCGTTTGTGTGCGTGTGTTTGCGTGGTGTGTGTGTGCGTGTGTGTTGCGTGTGTGCGTGTGTGCGTGTGTGTGCGTGTGTGCGTGTGTGCGTGTGTGTGCGTGTGTGCGTGTGTGCGTGTGGGCGTGTGTGCGTGTGTGCGTGCGTGTGTCGCGTGTTGTGCGCGTGTGCGCGCGTGTGCGCGTGTGCGCGTGTGCGCGTGTGTGTGCGCGTGTGCGCGTGTGCGCGTGTGCGCGCTGTGCGCGTGTGCGCGTGTGCGCGTGTGCGCGTGGGCGCGTGTGCGTGTGCGCGCACGCGCGCTGCGCGCGCGCGCGTGCGCGTGCGCGCGTGCGTGCGTGCGTGCGTGCGTGCGTGCGTGCGTGCGTGCGTGCGTGCGTGTGTGTGTGTGTGTGTGTGTGTGTGTGTGTGTGTGTGTGTGTGTGCGTGTGCGTGTGTGTAAGCATCACTACAAAAGGCAAGATCTGTGTGTTTGTTTCACCAGGGTGCCTGAGTTAGTGAGTTAGCTAGCTAGGTAGCTTCTTCCTTTGTTCTCGATTGTGGCGCTGTTGCTGTTGCTGTTGCTGTTGCTGTTTTTGGGTGTTGTTGTTCAGAGTACCATCGAGACGCCGTCGCAGCACAGAAGCACCATCCAAGCATGCCCAAAGAAAGGGAAACAAGCTCGGACAGGGCGGGAATCGAGCCCGGGACCTTTCGCCGGAAACCCGTGCCGCCGGACCACGAGACAAAACCCCCACGGTCCCCGGAGCCGCCAAAAAAGCAAAAAAATCGAGTTTGTGCGAGCCTGCGCAGTCGAAACGCACTTCAACATCAAGCAAGAGCAAGAATCTGCGGTAAATACCACGCGAAACGCTCGCGGACAGAAGTCGACACCTCACTTTGTGCGAGCCTGCGCAGTCGAAACGCATTTCAACATCAAGCAAAAGCACGAATCTGCGGTAAATACCACGCAAAACGCTCGCGGACAGAAGTCGCCAACTCACTTTGTGCGAGCCTGCGCAGTCGAAACGCACTTCGACATCAAGCAAGAGCACGAATCTGCGGTAAATACCACGCAAAACGCTCGCGGACAGAAGTCGCCAACTCACTTTGTGCGAGCCTGCGCAGTCGAAACGCACTTCGACATCAAGCAAGAGCACGAATCTGCGGTAAATACCATGCAAAACGCTCGCGGACAGAGCGGGCACCTCAATCTGGCACCAAGGCCTTTTCTCTTACCGTAAGAACCCCTTAGTGTAGACACACTGTTTGGGGAAAAAAGACATAAAAAAAGAAAAACAAAAAAGGAAGAAAGAGAGAAAGAAAACAAACAGGCCAGCATATGTTTGAGTTTTTCTGACTAAGTGACCTTATGTTCAAAATGGATCAACCCAAAAAATGAATCGAGGGCACTGAAACGAAGCTGGGGGGGCATTTTTTTTCGTCGGGGCAACACTTGCTGGTGCGATAGGCAGGGAATGAGGATACTTTTTTGTGGCTTCCTTTTCATGGAATCCCCAGCTTCATTCCCACATTCCCTACGGAGCAAGCAAGAACACTCAAACGGGTAGCTCGCCCATGTGATATCTTTCAGATAGCCTGAAACAAACAAACATGGGCACGGTTAACACTCGTCAGGGAGCAGAGGTGCTCCATCGGTGGAATTCGTCAGATGCCGACATGTCATGTCCAACGGGCCGTGGCACGGGGGAAACGCCAACTTACCGAACCTCCATCAACTCTCTCATAGTCAAAACCTGGCACGCAGGCACACTTCACGCCAAGCAGGCGAGAAATGAGCATACCATAATTTTGTTGCACAAGGAGAGCACACAGTGAAAGTGGCGACCCAACCTTGAAACTTAAAGCAAAACACATGCCCCACGCAAACAAACACTCTGGATTCCAGACATGCGGCATGCTGAGGCTAAAGAGCACCGAGTTCTCCGTGTGGTACTCCTGGAGGCCAATCCAAATCCCATCCCCCAAGCCTATGTCAATCTCTTTGTTGTTTTGGCCGCTGCAATTCGCCAGAAAAAGGGCCATCTTTCTAAGATCACGGCGACCTCTTGGGGACACAGGGTGGGGCACAAATTTGCCCTTTTCCGGAAGTCGGAACTTGGGCGTGCAAATCTGCACTTCAGGCTTCTCCAAAGCTTGTCGCTTGTGCACGCTTCCGTGTCTGGCCACTCGAAACCCGCGAAGCACACAGGGGTCCCGAAACTCGGAGAGCAGGCCCCGCTTGGAGTTCTCGGATTGCATCTGCTCCAGCAGCCATTCCTCCAAGGATTCCCCGACCAATGTTTAGGAATGCGGCGTTCCTTCAAAAAAGGCCTCGGGCCACCCCAACAATTTGTAGCTTGGTGCCAGAACTCCCAGCGTCCCCCCCCCCCCCGAAATTTCCAGTTGCAACAATGGCACCGGCTTCCTGCAAGGAAGCATCCACGAATCACTCACTGCATGCCCACCTTCAGACAGGAACACCATGCCATCAAACACAAGGCCAGCGTTGTGTAAACCGAAGACAACACGGCCATGGGTCAAAACCCCGTACCCCCAGTGAACATCCCAATCCCAACTAAAATCCACGAAAATGGGTCTCCCAAAATGGTACCATTGCTTTTGAACCATGGCCACACGGGCAGCCCTGTGCCCACACGCAGGCTCAGGCCTTGTAGTCTTGGGTCCAGCGCCGAATTGGCAGCTCTGTGATCTCCACCCGGCACATGCCACGACGGACGGCCACCCCAAGGCTCCTTAGACCACCGTGCGGGGACGGTCCTGCCACCAGGGGGTAAGTTTGGGCCTGCAAGCTGTTGTTGTTCTTTTTGTGTGGGGCCGGGGGGGGGGGGGTGATGGCAAACCACTTTCCATAACGGTCTTTTTAAAGCGACCACCACCACCTGATCCCAACCCCAACCTCTACGCCACATTGCTGGGAAGACACCTGCGGAACCAAGCTCCCATAGCGCCCATACCTTTATCCATTTTCCGCGGTGGGCGTTGGTAAATCTAAGGTCGCCTTACCCATTCCAATTCTGCATTCCAACTATTCCTTCACATGGATGCAAATGCATGCCCACGCCGCAGAACAGTCTTTCACAGCCACATTGTACATTGTGAGCGCTCGCGAACGCTCTCCCCCCCGCCCACCCCTGCAAACAAAGGCCCCAAAACGTTTTGACAAAAGAGATCGCGCTGGCCAGGATTGGGTGGCGCGCTAGGCCGCCCTCACGCCCAGGTCCCCAGCAGTCCATCTACGCCCTCACGCCCAGGTCGCCAGCAGTCCGAATCTGAACCGCAGACTCGCGGCTCGTAGCGGCCCTCCGAAAGCTGCGAGATGGCTCCCTTGTAGCCCCGGTACCTCTGCGTGCGGTTCCGCCGAGGGTCCTTTGGAGAAGCTTCCGCCAGCCGAATTTGTGCCGGCCATCGGGAAAAATCCGGATGCCCAAGGGGTGAACCCGTGGCTCAATGGCAGCACTTTGGGAGAGGAACTCCCCCCTATTCATAAACTGGGTTGACGAATGTGACGTCAACATTAACCCCCCCATTCCAGGCCAAAAACTGAGCAAGTGCTCGGCCCCAATGAAAAACGAAGATGCCTTTGACACGGGCCTGCTGCTGGGGTCTTGCGGATCTTGCGGCATGCGTGCATTTGTTCATGCAGGGGTGGGATGCATTCGGGGCCGAGGCAATGCATGCCCCCTCCCCGATTCAACTTCTTGACGGAAATTGGTGGCAGGTTTTTCCACTTGCGAAACGTGGGAGGGAATCAGGATCCACCTGGCCGTCAAGAGTGGAACTGGGCGGCAACTGCAAACAAACTGCCAGGGTGCAAGCAGCGAACAAACCCATCGAAGGCATGCGGGTCGCCTGCCCTACACAAATCTCTTTCCTACTCTTTCGGGGTACGTCTAGGAAAGCCCACAACAAACACACGCCTAGGCGAATATTGGCTGAACAACCCAAGCATAGGGGCCGCCAATATTTCCCTTTTCAACCCTCGGCCTGGGAACAAGCACCGGGGAAGCGTTCACTGGGCAGCTTCGCGAAAACTCGGCCATGCGGATGATCTCCAAAAACGCCTGAAGGACGTGCTGTTTTGAATAGACTCTCACATGCCCCCCTCCCCCCCTCCCCCCCCACCCCATGATTCTGATGGTGTGGCATCCATCCATCCGAGCTCGACGACAAGCGGCCAGGGCGTCAGCGGTTGCAGCTCCTCCCCTCGCAACAGGCGACGCACGTTGGCGATCAGCTCCTGCAATGGGATCCGGGGCCAAGAAAACGAATGGGACCCGATTTTCCACCGATTTTTTTTCAGGGACAAGTTTGGCTTCGATCCCAAGGAAATCCGACATTCGATCTCTTCGCTGTTTTGCTCTTCTTGCTCTTTTTGGGAGGGGGGGTGCTTATAATAAGGCATTCTAGAAAGGAACACCAGTATGGAAGCTCAAAAAGCACCCGGGCAGGCGAAAACCCGAAAACCGACATTCACCCAAAGACTGATGGCCCCTGCCAGGTCAGGACGATGAATCAAGCCAGCTTGGGACCTTCCAGGCAGCTTCCCGCTTTCTCCGTCGTTCCACGGCGCGACGCGGAGGGGTTTTCCACGGTTCGACACCATCGGCACGGACACCAGGCGCGCCTTTGACCCTTTCGAAGTGAGCAAGGACCAAACAAAGGACTAGGTCCTCCAGTAGAGAGGTTAGAATAAGGGTACCAGATTTTTTTCTGTAGTCTATTGTAGTGGGGGAACCCTCCCAACCAAAAAGTTGGTAAAAGGGCACTACTGGGGGACCTAGAAATAGAGGATCTCTCCCCCCCCACAGCCTCTCTGACAATGCCAACTCCCCGATCTGCAATTTAAGCATACCAAAATAATTGTTTTCTGCTTGGCTTCCCGGTGAAACAGCTGCCTTGGTGCCTTCTATTGGAGCATAAGGGGTGTTTTCCCGTTTGCCCACAAGCACCAGGGGTTCCACCAATCCAAACCACCAATCCAAACCAACCTGGGCTGTTAAAAAAAAACTGGTTGGCGAATCCCAGTCCTTAATCCCTACTCACTTGGGTGGATTGGCAAGAAAGAGTCAGAACTGTTCATTTGCCAAACTGATCTTCCCGAAAAGTGGTTCAAGCCCAGGAGCTCGGAAGAAGGAGCCTACAGGGAAGCTACTGCAAAGCAGCCAATACGTTACCCCAAGTGAGTCACAATCAAAACCCGGTACAAAAATGGCGAAGAGCCATGTAAAGAACTAAGGCGGCCGCAGCTATTAACCTTCCTCTACCCAGGTTTTGATTGTGGCTCAGGTAAGGATTAAAAGTAAGGATTGCCTCTGAACAGCCCAGCCAAGACATGGAACCAAGCATACCAAGCGTGCCAACTCAGACGCCCCTCAGCGGCGGTCCCTGGGGCTGTAGTTGGGCACGGAGGTGCTCCAACCGACGCCAATGCCCTCCGCCCCATTCACCAGGATCATGGGGAGCACGGGGCAGTACCTCATCCGTGAATGATCTGGGGGGCTTTCCTGAGCAAAACGTGAAACAGAATCAAACTCGAGCAACATGGACCCCTAAGGGGGGTGATATCCATTAATTGTTTAATAAGGGCTTCTTGGCGTATCCTTGGCGTATCCTAGGCTTATCTAGGGAGAGGCCCCCCCCCCCCCCTAGCCTACCCTAGAGTCCATGACAACAGGAATTGCTCCAGTTGGTGGTCGAACTCGCTGTGGTTTGTCTGAGCAGCGTTTAGACGTGTCAATCTTCCCCCCATTGCTGTTGCAGCCTACCCCACTGATGCGGCAAGCTCTTTTTGGCAACGAACAAGCGGCCATAATCAAGATCTCGACGAGCGAAAGATGGACATTAAGGTGACCGAAATTGCTTCAACCATACGCCCAGGGCTGGGCAATGTCGCAAGTGCATGCTCCTCTCTGTGATGCTGACCGCCATACGCCTCCCTTGCGGCAGAGCTGAAAAACGTGGAGCACAACTATGGGAAAACTTGGGCACATTCGCAACGGTAAGTAACCTCCATAAGGAAACGGGCGAGGAAGGAGTGAGAGGCCGTAAGTCACTGATTGTGAACCCCACGATGTCACTCAAAATGCCGCTTGCATTGCACCCGTCATCTTGTCCTCAAGCCATGGCTACCAAACAGGGAGACCCAGCTGGAGTCGGGTCATTGGATGTCCTTGGTTCTAGTATGGCCACAAGATGCTGAAACATGAGCTGCCGGCAAGAACCCCGCATCCCAGAATACCCTGAAGAAGGCAGCCTCTCTTTTTTCAGGGTACCCCAAAAACTTTTTGGGGTGGAAGGGAATCCAAAAGGAAAGCGAGCCGCCAGGCTAAGCGGGGCACGCGTTCCCGGAAAAAGATAAAACTTCACGGGCCCCAACATCGCGCCAGACGGTGGGTGGCCCGAGGCGCCACTTGGGCTCGATGGGCTGCCCTTCCTGTGGCAGGCGGTGCCGAGCCCAGGAGGGCGGCAGGGAGTGGAGGGGAGGGGAGGGGAGGGGAGGGGAGGGGAGGGGAGGAAGGGAGGTACCTCTCTCGCATTGCCCAACCGACTTCAGCACCTTGAGTGCAGGAACAAAGTGGGATTTTCCATTGCACAACATCCTAGTTCTGGGTCGCGCATCGCTGCGGACGGTGGCCAGAACGTGCCCTAAGCGCCTGACGCAGGTCCAAACAGAGTCGCGAAAACTGCGGCCGTTGCACACGTTCATCGTGGGTTCAACCGTTCAGGTTGATGCTGACACTGGCTCAATCGTAACCTGCATCGGACAATTCGAGCAGGACCACATAGCTGCCAAACGGCTACCAAAATGGGCACAGCGAATTCACTTTGGTCATCACATTGAAATTTGTGGAGTGGTTGTGCTGTGTGGCGTCAGGAAAAGGCGATCAATCCTCAGGCTGACCATGTTCAAAGGAGTTTCTAGGAGCTACAAAACACATACCTGGACCTGAACTGCAGTCAAACACATCCATGGAATGGTGCGTTCCACCCCCTCTGACCATGCTTGAAAGTCGCGCCAATATGGATCACCCTGACTTTCTGACCCTAGGAATCCCTCGCTACAGTCGCCCGATGAAAAGTCCAAAACTCAAGCGAAGGCAGAGGTGATTCCCTTGGGTCGGGTTGAATTCCCTTGGTCCCACAAAACCCCATCATGTTCCACCGACTACCGGTGATTCTCTTTGCTCATGGTGATTCTCTTGGTCCCCCCCAAAAAAAGGCAAACAACTTTTCCACCGACCCCCCCCAAGAAAAAAAAAGGAAAAAGAAAAGACACTTTCCCACTCACTACCACCTACCAGCCCGCCCCAACCGCGTCTCCATCAACTCATCCAAAGCCATCGACTCGACCCGCCTCCGTCTGCGGCTCCAGCACCGGGTCGTCCTCCGCGCAGAAGACCTTCCGCGCCGCGGCGGTGAGCCGCGTGAAGATGTAACGCGGCGCCGCGTGGTCCTGGCGGAGTCGGGGCGCCGCTCCGTCCCCGGTGCTCCATCACTAGGCACCCCGAGCCATTGGAAGAGTGGGGAAAAAACAACAGGAGACATAGGAAAAAAACTGCCAAAAACAAGCGTCCAGTGGATGCAACGCAATTTTTGTCTCTAGCCTTACTCTGCTTCGCCTTGGTCTGTTGTCAAATTATGTTTCAGATCCGCGAGTTGACCAGCGACAGCCCCGCCAAACATCTCCGATCCGCTCAGCCGCTAAGCCGCTTAACCCTCCGCTTAACCCAGCGGTCGTGCAGAGGCCCGGGCCAATCAAGCTCAAGCCACTTCTTCGGCTCCTTGGGTTGACCAACTTGTTTGGCCCCCCCAATCGCTGTGGGTAAATGGTCCAACTCAGTGGAAGGTCATCTGGTATTCCCTCATGGTCATCCTGTCAAGGACCTTTGGATCAAACCCCACATGGCATCGCCACCAACAATCCTGCATGTGGTCACAACAGCTTCGTTCTGATCGCCCATGGGGCCCATGTTTTGTCGGGCTCTCTCCTGATGCGGCCTGCCATGCCTAATGCAAGTCACAACCATTACCCCCGTCGCCGCCACCCAAACATAACATGGCCAAAAACTGAGTCGGATCTCCAAACGCGACCTTGTGTTGAATAGCCACTATGATACGTTGTCATCCTTGTATCGAATGGCCGCATCATGGTAGCTTCCCCTCGGGGGCTACTGCCTGTGTTATTTGCTCAGCTACACATGGCTTGTGCCACCAACATTTTGCACACTGCAAGGCCTAAACAACTGAAACTAAGCTCGACCGCAAGCTGGAAGTTCGGGGATCGTCCGATGAAAGCGGTCACTTTCCAGTACACGCAGCGTCCGATTCTGCGGCGGTTCCAAGATCCACATGAGCGGTGTGCAAGCATAGCTGTCCTTTTGGTTTAAAAAAAAAACAGATGGCCCTGGTAAATGGAATAAATAACACCTATCTAAATCCGCGACTCGCATTTCCAATCAAATCTAAAAAAGGACCCCTTCTGGCTGTGGGTCAAGAATAGGGTAGCCCCAAAATGGAATCCTGGGAAATGGAAACATGGACTGACACCTGCGGTTTTGTGGTGGTTTAATACCTCGATTGGGCCCAAGGTCAACACCCTGAGCTTGATTCACGTGGCAGCTCCGGAGCTCCCCCCCCCACCCCGCGGTTCGCGCACCGCGCCTTGCCGCCAGCGCCCCGGGTGCCGAACTGCCCCAAGGGCTGCAGGAGGTTCAAGTTGTTGCCTCGGAGATTCTTCATGGCTCAGCAGTCCACATCGGCCAATTTCATCGAGTGAAAAGAAAGAAGAAGAAGAAGAAAAACAACGCGCATCCCGTGGGTTTGTATTTTTTCCTTTTGGATGCGATGCTGCCGGTAGTGCGTCCCTTTTGTCCAAATCATGTCCCAAGCCTACAGACCTCAGCAGGTCAATGTCGCGTGGGTTCCGCAAGGATTCACCGGGCGATGCGAGCGAAAAAGATCGAAAGGAGTCAAGAATCCCTTTCGGAAGCCGCGAGCACCAAGAAGAAACGAGCCACCGACCTTTGCTCTGAGGCGCTGCCGACAAAGTTCTGGGCCATGCCAATGATGGTGCCCTGGCTCTCAGATTCTTGTTAGAGAAGGAGCAAAAAAGGTTCAGACGCCCATTCTGCCAATCCAATGAGAACTTTAAGTCATCACAAGCCGCCAAAATTGAAAAAAAAATCCGGCTTGCATTGCCCCTAACTCCAGAATCCTAGGGGCCGGGCCCAGCCAACAGACCTCCTGGTGCTGCTGGCTCGCTTTTCCGCCCCCCGCCCGCCGCCAACCGCCCAAAACCATTCTCCTGCAGAGAGGTCTCCCCGTGGTGGTACGCGCTCTTCTCCGCCACGAAGCCGGAAAACTGGGCTACCTTGATCTCCTCGCTTCGGCCGGAGGCGTTTCCGAGGTGCCCCCCCGAGGTGCCCCCCCCTGAGTGCCCCCCCCAAAAAAAAAAATAATCCCCGATTCGCGCGCAGAAATGACGCCCCAGCCGGGTAAGAGGGCACAGGAAATCACCTGAAAAAGCTGCGCCCAAGTTGGGGGTGGCTCTGGCAGGTTCCTTGTGGCGTTCTTTGAGATCAATCGCCTATGGGTCCTGCTTTTCGAGGCACGGCATGTCCTTGACAGCAAAGGGGGGCAGGAAGGGTGGAAGTTCGCTAGCAGCATCTACCAGCACTTCTTGGAAGGTTTGCCCTTGACCCCGATCATCACACGATTGCGACTAACGAGGACGGCCCAGGTCAAACAAAGCAAACCTAAATTGATGCTAACCTCAGCGGTCTGAGGCATGAGAGTTTGCAAAGTATCTGGCTTAACCCGTACCAAGAAAACCTCACGGCAACGTGCATGGCCAAAATTGACGTCTGTTTGCTCCAGGAGGTTCCCCTGCTTTGCAAAGGCACGAAACTTCCCACACCAACACCACTGAGCAAGGCGATCTGCCCCAATGGCCTGGTTCAACTTCTTCAGAAAGGCGCTGTAGAGCACTTTGCCTCAGCACGCCGCACGTTGGCTGGAGTCCAGGTTTTTCTTGGATCACTTTAGGGGCCCAAATCCACAAGCCGCTTCAGGTCGAAAAGCGTGGCCCGGCTGAAAGCAGGAACACCTACATGACAT